ATATGTTCTCGATACACCAAATTATTGACACCTCTTCAATTCAACTAATAGGAGGGGAAAATTACGCATCCACTTACCATAATGTGAGAGTGAATGTCATGGTAATAGCAAACATCATGTTGGCCGTGATGGCAGCTCTGATCACAGCCTAACGACTGCCGTCTCAGCCAACGTCACTCCGACGCATAAATGACGAAGCAAATACGGCAGTAGGGGCGACAATGACACGTTGTGCCTAAAAAGGTGTGCGTGATTTACGAGATGTGACTCTGCAGTCAGACAGACGCCTGTACTGGCCAAGTGCCCTCTGTTCCCGGGCTTTTGAACTTCCGTCATCATAGCGTTCTTGTCACCGTTTGAGGTGCCGTGGGAGTTTCACATGCCTAGTGCCCACAATGTTTCTATCAGATATGAGCATGAACTCGTTACCGTTGGTCTGCGGGCGCTGTAAGCCAAAAGGTTTTGAAGCTGTAACATCCTTGACTCCAGAGTTATTCTCGTCGAATTTCGATACGATTTTACCCGATGCGTGCACACGCACCCTACCATTCGTGCATCCACGTCACACTATCATGCACTTGCCAACTTTTCACTCTTTCCTGGCAGACGTTAACGGCCTTAACAATCCCACCTGAACAAAACCACAATCGCCTACCTTTCGGTACCCAGCCGCTCCCCGGAGGCGCCCCGCTGGTGAAGGTGGCGCCACCGTCGCCGCCGCCGGTCGGACCTCTCCGCATCGCCGCCGTCGACCTCGCGACAGCCGAGGCCCGATCGATACTATCCCCGGCCCGTAATCCCCGCCGCTGCAAATGGAGATTTCTTGTAGCCGCTGGCTGTCCAATTACAGATGTTTGGCCCGAAGAACAAATGTTTATGCTGCCGCTCCGCCCCGCGGCTGTGCCCCCAGCTTACCGTGTGCACCGATAGGCGGCAGCAGCGTCGGTACCGTTGACGTAGTGCAAGTCTGTTGCGTTGGGCATTTGGGTTAGTGAACGTAGGTGGCGCAGTATGAAATGATATGGACCATGACGATTGTCTATCAGGGTTATGCTGATTTTAATGAGTCAAATGATGCAGTTTCTAAGCCTTGCATTGTATCCAGAAGATCACATTTCAGCAGAAGAGCAGGCAGAGGGAGGGGGGGGGGGGGGGGGGCACAGGGGACACGCCCTCCTTTAAGTTCCGAGGGGCTCTTTGGGCCCCTCGGAACCTACGATTAAGGGCCCGAAAGACCGGCCGGAGGTCGCATTCAGGGACCCCAGCCCGCAGGGCCGGGCACTCCAATGTCAGCCAGAGGGCCCTGTGCGCTGGTCAGGGGCCCACTGAGTCGACACGGGGCTATATTTCGGTCAGAAACCACCAACGACGCACAGTCGGCTCCGTGGCGGCATGGGCCCAAGGGCCCATTTCCCAAGCAAGGACAAACCCGGAGCCAGCGATTTACATTGCTCGGGCCCCACAAGGGGCCCCGTGTTGACAAGGGGCCCGGAGTCGGCCAGAGGCAGTGATTGAGGTGGCCGAAGAGCCTAGAGGGCCCACCGGATCCGACGATCAAAGGCCCGGCACAAGGGGCTGGTCGAATTCTTATTTTGGGGCCCCAGCTTACGAAGACGGGTCCTCATAATAACAGTCAGGGGGCCCTCTGCGCCAATCGGAAACCCCCTGAGTCGATATGGGCCTATATGTCGGTCAGGTGCCACCCTCGCCGCACCGTTGGCTCCGTGTCGGTATTGGCCTGAGGACCCACCTCCCAATCAGGTACAGTGCTGGGCCGGGGCCAGTGGTTTGCACTGGTCGAGGCCCCTGCATGTGTCAGGGGCCCACAGTGCCTAACAGAGGGTCCTGTGCTGGCAAGGACCCCGAGCCGACCAAAGGCAGTGTCCGATGAGGTCCGAAGAGCAGCCCGGGCGGCCCATTGAACCCAGCTATCAAAGGCCAGGTTGAAGGACATCAGCGCCCGAAGGACTGGCTGTAGGTCAAATAAAGAATGGTGGCCCGTAGGGTCGTGACCTGAAATATCAGCCACAGCTCCTCTTGTACCGTTGAAGGAACCCCTGAGACAATGCGGACGCCTAAGTCGGTCAGAGACCTCGAACACCGAACAGTCGGTAGCCGCAGCGACTAGCAGGGGTCCTGTGGCGGCAAGTGTCCCCGAGTCGGAGCGATGTTTGAGGGGACCCAAAGGAAGGGGGGGGGGGACGAAAGATCTCAAAGATCAAAGGACCCGATCGTGTGACTGAAAGGTCTGAAGAGCTAGCTGTAGGTCACATTAAGGAACCCCGCCCATAGGGTCGTGATCTCAAATGTCAGTGAAAGAATCTCTGGCACCGGTAGGGACCTCTGAGACAGAGCGTTCCTCTATTTCTGCCGGAGATCACGAACTAGGGACAGTGGGCTCCGTGGCGGTCTGAGCTCTGGTGGCCCATTTCCGTAGAAAGGACAATGCCTTGCGGGCGAGGCAAATGGGTCGGGGCTCCTATATCGCTCAGGGTCCCACAGTGCCTAACAGGGTATCCTGTGTCAACAAGGGGACTCGAACTGGCCAGGGGAGATCTGCGAACAGGGACGGGGACCCGAGCCCAAATGACTGAGTATCTCGAGTGTTGGTCGGGGCCTTCTGGCAATTTAAGGAATAATAAGAACTCATTATGAGTGCTCATATTGAGGCAATACAAGGATCCTGTGCCGGTCAGGACCCCAGTACCAAACGGTGGTCCCTCCAACTCAATGTCAGAATGAGCCCGTTACGCCGAACTGGGCTCTGTGTGCCAATTTTTTGGCCACCCGCGGCGATCAGGGATGTTGTTGCGTCAATGACGGTTCATGCGTTGATCCGTGGTCAACTGCACGGGTCAGAAGGCCTCCCGCGCCAGGGGGCGGACCAGTGTGATATGACGCATCTCTCTAAGGGGCTCCGGATCGGCCAGGGGATCGCGCAACAACGACCGTCACAAAATAACGTTTTTGAATTTTTTTCAAAACATGTGTGGTTGAAAGATTATGCTTTCATTTTTTTACTTTTCCTTTCGCCGAATCATTTTTTCATTACTTTGTGGTTGTCTTCTGGACAAAAAAAGTTACAGCAACACGAAAAGAAAGATTTCAGCTGTATTCTTTCAGCTCCACCGCCAGATTTCAGGACCACTTCGCGGTGCTGTATAAGCCGTTCTGTTATTGTCATCAATCTAAAAATCGCATAGGTGAAATGTACGTCCGGAATATCTCTACATGTACGATTTTGTGTCCTAAAGCGTTCAAAGGTACTTCTTTTACATGCACCATCATTTTCGTCCACCTGTTGGCTACGGCCTAGTGTTGGCCGCAGACCGGCACTGCGTGGTTTCCCGAGAATGCAACGCCTGGCGTCGAGGTATTTGTTGCTAAAATATGCGAGCGCGCTTGCCCAAAATCACGGCACATTAGGTTCATCACTATTCATGATTTTGGCTAATGTTAAATATATCCAGACAAACATAGTTTGGCCATGTTTATACAAATTTTTGAAGCATTTCAATTTTACAGCTACATTTGTGGAGGTCTTGATATCCCTGCGCAACCCAGATAAAAATTATGACAAAATTTCTGCGTTCTATATCTGTTTAAAAGGATTACACTGGATCATTGTAAAATGAAGGGCGTCAACGATTTATTTCATGAGCTCATTCAACGTACGACTTTTCAGTTCATTGACATTAGAAACTCCAGGCAGAATTGATTTTGCGGTGGCGCCCGGCCTCCATTTCAGTTATAGAGGGTAAAAATGTGTAATATATGTACACACACACACACACACACACACACACACACACACATATATATATATATATATATATATATATATATATATATATATAAAGTGTAAAAACAGAATGCTTCCAACAACGAATGGGCCACACCCGGTTATTTTTTTTTTGGGGGGGGGCTTTTACTATCTAGGGGCCCTTTTTCAACCTTGTGCCCCTCCAACCAAGGCACTGGCTGCGTTCCTGCGCTTCAGGAAAACTCAATGGCCGTTTATCAGCCCGAAAACCACGGTTTGTCCGACAGTAACCACGTGAGTAAATCGGTAATCTCATGTTTATGCCTGGTCAGCATTTACATACCGCAGTGTCTTTTTTCACAAATTTAACTCATTTATATTTATTTGATGATTGCATTAGGAAAACTCAGGTACCCTCTCCTGATGCTGGTGAAAAAACGACGAAGAAAAATAGATGAGCTCTACGGCCATTGTAACTGAAGTCCGGGCTTGCAGGCGCTTAGCAACCGGTGTTCGTCTGGCTCATGACCCATCCCTTGCCGAGACTGCTTAGCAGTAACCATACGCGATACACGCGGAAATATCCGACGTCCAGAATGACTTGACCCACCCACATTTTGGTGCGCTTCTACGCACCGAACTGCACTAGCTCCCCTCTCACTGAGACCGTGCGGCGTCGCCATTTGCCCATTACCCGTGCGGCGCTCCCCGGGTGGAGCTCTCTCGGAGCCACGAGCAGGACCTGCAGAGGGCACTGACCGCTTGCAGACCGGCCGTGCCGGCGGGAGAAGCGGAGTACTCGGGTGAGGCTGCGTCTCTCCATCGGAGGTGCCGCGCCGAAACGGAGCAACCCCATCACGGCGGCCCGGGCCGCGTCGTGGTCACTGGAGGGTCACACTCTGAAAATTGTCCGTGAAGGAGCTCCTCTGAGTTTCTGATATACTCCGACTGTGCCATACCCAAAGATGACATGTCTGAATTCATTGATAAGCAAGAAAGGCTACACTAAAGAAAGGAAGTTCCACCGATGCTGGCCGTGCACCGTCAGCATACTATCATGAAACATTACGCTCCCTGTTTCCTAACGTGCTGTATGAAAACCGCGTTACCATAGTCTTTTCGGTGCAGGCCGCGACCGGTCGGCGAGCGGGCCCGTTCGGGCCGGCACCTTTCAGCTGAAGCCCTCAGGCGATTGTTGCAGGTGCAACGTACGGTCCCCGCCAGTCGCACTCCGGCTGGCCACGTACACAGCCGCTATGAAGGGGAACGCTCAACGATGGGTGGCTGTTCTTCTTGTGGGACTCTGGCACTGGTGAGCTGACCGTAAGGCCGCGCCGGAGTTTTGAACTCTGAGAGCTCTGAGAGCCCTGAGAGCAGCACTCTTTCGCTCTGTAAGCTTCAACATTCTTCTGATAACTAAATCTGTACCAATCCTGTTAAACTATGTGTGATGTAATTCAACATGTGTTACTTGAATATATATATATATATATATATATATATATATATATATATATATAAAGTGTACAGCTACTATCAGTGGAAAGTGTTTTCATAGGCGTTGGCTATTAACAGCTGCAGTCGCCATCTCTCTGCGCTTATCAATTTTGTTTGCCGTAGCGCCAAACGCATGCTTTTACGCGCCGTGAAATTTTTATCGTGTGCTTGTGGACCTTTGCGTCAAAAACATAACCATCCTGGTAAATGCATATTTCTGTATATATCCAGATGTCCAAACGAATTTTGTCATTACAATATGCATGCCTTTTCTAACATTTCGCTAAGAATTCGTCACATCTCGCCAGTAATTTCTGGGTCTTGTGCCACTGGGACAGTGAGTTGTTGATATCTGACTTCAACCCGCGTGATAGAGCTTTTTGCCCTTATAAATCTTGTGTTTCCCATGCTAAGGGACTGGGAAAGGGCATATTATGCTTTAATTGTAGGATTGCAAGAAATCCATGCCTGTCTAAACAGCCCATTTAAAAGTGTATAAAATGATATGAGACACGGTTTTTAAATAACTGCCTTTTTTGTAGCCGTAAGTTGCGTGAGTGTGCAACCAAATATTTCACTTTAATAATGCGTCACGACCTGGCCAGGCCAATGCAGGTCAAGGGAACGGAAAATTTCGAAATGTGCGGTAAGAATGGTTCAGACAGTCAATTTCGGAAAACACCTGACGTGCATTACATAGCATCTGGAGTCCTCTTTCACTGATCAGATGTATCTGGAATATCATGACATCTGATATGTATCTAACGCTGTCGCGAGACACCCAGTGACATATGTGATACCTGTGCATATCACGCGTAAAGCACCATATCTGACATGTAACGCAGCCCCATGCCATTGCAGTTCCTGCCTGGCAAAGCAGGGCGCATCAAATACGGCTCCGGACATCCAAGTAATTGAGCAGCTGGCCGCCTCCCTCAACGAAAGCCACGTGACGGCTCGGTGTCGGCGCAAGTTGACCTTCGGCGGCGACTGCGAGTGCAACTTCAGGGACGCGCCCGACCTCAAGCCCAAGGACATCGTGTTCGACATGCACATGTACAGCCGGCGGCGGGTCTGCATCGGCGACGACTACCTCAGGCCCGGGGCCTGTCGTGTGCTCTCGCTGCAGACGGATCCCGACAACGACCAGCCGGAGACCTTTCAGAAGGCGCTCGTCAACTTCGGCTGCAGCAGCGACGACGTCACGGAGATGGACGCCGAAGCGACCTTCGCTAAGTGGAAGAACTTCTCGCTGCGCATGCAAATGAAGAAGATGCGCGTTAAGAGTTTGGACCTGCTGGACGTTTCGGCGCCCGGGCTCGAGGGCAAGATCCTGGCGGACCTCCTGAAGCAGAAGCCGCGGATCTCGGCTAAGCAGCTGACGCTGACCGTGGTTCTTGACGCGGACGAGAGGATGGGCGAGCCGGAGTCCAGCTTCACCATGAAGGTGGCGAGGGAGAATCTGCTTCTGCTGCAGCGCATCGAGGCGGCCGGGTACAACATGCTCTCCATCAGGCCGAACCCAAAGTGCGTTGCTTCAGTGCAGGAGGAGTACGGCCTATGCCTGCCGGTGACTGCCGACGTCACCTGGGTGAAATAGGACGGACATCTGGAGGAAACGCACGCATGTGGCGCGTGGTTTGCATGCTCGCTTTATTGATGTGAGGTTCGATGCATATGAACACCTATCTGTAAAATATAATTCATTGTCTTCTTCCATGGCATCCATTTAGAGAGGAACCTAATTTCTTGTGACACGTCATTGGTCATCTCGAGGTCCTCGTAATGGTTTGCCTAACGAGGGTTTGCGAGAGCGAATAAAGACTCCGGCTTTTTAAAAAAAATGCCGCCCGCAGAGAAACGCCCGCTGATGTTACAACTGCCGGTCCTCAAACTCTTCCCTGGGACGCGGTTTGGAAGTGAGGCAACTAAATGTCAGAGGGAGGATGGGAAACCATTGATATCACCCCGTTCCGCACAGGGAAGCTGCACCCAGCACCGCACAGGGAAGCTGTACCCCGTACCACACAGGGAAGCTGCACCCTTTGCGTGCACGGCTTCGAGCTGAAGTCAGAAGCATCGGCAATGGCTCACAATCACCAAATTTTGCACGCGGGTCAGTCGTCTGTGGGGGCATGGACCCCAATCAGAGTTGCGCTGAGCGGCAGCTTAATGCGCGTCTGACGCGGCCCCGGACGCGTTGTGACGCTGGACAACGAGCCGTCTGATGCGGCCCCGAACGCGTTGTGACGCTGGACAACGAGCCGTCTGATGCGGCCCCGGACGCGTTGTGACGCTGGACAACGAGCCGTCTGATGCGGCCCTGCACGCATTGTGACGCTGGACAACGAGCCGTCTGATGCGGCCCTGCACGCATTGTGACGCTGGACAACGAGCCGTCTGATGTGGCCCTGCATGTGTCGTGACGCTGGACAACGAGCCGTCTGATGCGACCCTGCACGTGTCGTGACGCTTGACAACGAGCAGCTCGCCACTCGCGCCCGGGCAGTGCGGGGATGATCTGTTTCGTGACGGCAGATGGGATGATGACAGACGCCGTGACTGGACACCACGTCAGACATTTCTACAGGGGCACGGTGTCAAAGCGCATGTGTCGCGCATGCGTACGCGTTACCTCCTATGCCACTGGCGGTACACGTGTGCCCTTGGCGTGATCCATTTGAGCAACGGGTAGTTGGATGCTCAGAGTTGCCACCATGCTGTTGTCTCGGTGAGACCAGTACAAATACAGAGAGGTGTGCGCACAAACCTATCCGCTACACTGCGCAAAGGACTTTTGATGCGAACGCAACAGATATAGTCCACTTACTCAGCATTCATACACTAATTCGCAAATGACGTTGCTTAAAACTGATTGTGTTTGGGAAACGCAAGGCCTGGCAACTTTCATCGGTGACGAAAATTAATTTCTAGTGAATAAGTTTGTTATTGACTGCCACTTAAATCCTGTCCAGAAAGCATTTTTTGGGGTATACCATGGCTACAAAACGTGTCAACACGTCACCGTGCAGTTTCATGGTCCAATCTCTTTCAGTATAAGCCACGGTGTCATCGAGATGGGTTTCTAAAAAGGTGCTATTGCTAAAAATTCCGTTCAACTGCAGGCACACTAAAGAGTGGGACTGTTTCAAATCGGTTATTGTTGGCCGGCGCTTTGACAGCAGCAGCGGAACAGTTTTTACGTCTGCGCCTGCACTGGTCGTTGAGACCTGACCTAAATACCTGGGAACGCCCCCAAACGGGCCGATCCATGGCTTGCACACGATAGAGCGTCCTGGTCTGCCAACGCAACGAACCTGACTTTTCCAGTTACGGATGTCCGTTTTTATGTTTTCTTTACTTTATTAATTTCCCTTAGTATTAGTAAGTCTAGCGTCGTTGGGTGAGATGTCAACCTGTACGACATACGTGTGCTTTCCAGTTTTTCCGCCCTTTGAAAGCCTTGCGATTTCCTTGTCAACCGTTAACGGACATGGGGAAATCGCAATAATGTTTTGTTGTGGCGTTGCAGGACAAACACGCCTGATCAAACAGCTTGTGCAAAAGCGCCTGACAATTTATGCTGTATGAGTTTGAAAAATGTGCTTTTCGCAACTAAAAAATTGCTTGAACCTGTCATCACTGTCTGCCATGGCAGCGTGACAAAGGTAATTGGCGGCTGGCTGCTCACATTCAGTTTTGCATATTTCAAGTAAAAGGTACTTACCCGGCCTGTGGTGCTCGTAAAAAGCTGTAGGTCAAATTCAAGCGCCCGATTGTTTTTTACTTCTTTCTAACCAATGAAGTAGCCACAGGTAGTGTCGGACGGTAGGTGGGTGGTGGTGATGGAGTGAGTCTGGACAATTTGTCTGACGGTCTGAATGAGTCTGGACAGATCATTTTCCCAGCGCTTGAGGGGAGCCCAAATTATACTTATTGGATGCTCCACTTGAAAAATTGAAACAGGACAATAACGCGTAAGTACCCCTATTCCAAGCTTCCAGAAACGCCCAGAGCCCCTAGGTCGGCTCAGAATCCCTCGCTGGTTTGAGTCCCTGCGGTCATGGGGAGCGCGACCACGCCTCTGAGATTGAGGGGGGCAAATTAAGGGAAAGAGGGTCAAGCTTAAATCAGCTTGGACCATCTCACCTCACAATTACACTTCAAACGGAAAAGCTTGTAAAATGAGCATTCTGTGCGAAAAAAGCACGGGATCCGAAGTCCATTTGGGATGAACCAGGGTGTAAGCGCCCTCCCCCAGACATCAGCAGTTACGCACCAATAGCTGTGCGAAGGACGGGGTAGATACGATAAAACCCCAAATTAAAGGGCCCTAAGTGAAATTGCGGTGCTCTCCCCTCTCAGATTGAAAGGCAAGTCTGATGCACTAAATATCTCCCCGCCCCCGTTGACGCGATCCCGGCTGCGTGCCAAGCTCTGACGCGCCAAGGTAGAGCTGACAGTGTGCTGATGTCCCGCTGTGCTCGGTACTCGGGCCGGACGGCGAGTACGTTTTCACTTCAGTGTGATGCAGAGTGCTGTAATGCATCTGCGCGCAAACCATCACTATAGGGGGAGGGATTTTGAGGGTCGTATCTAAAACATTTGGGAAAATTAGCACTACCTCTATAACGATGCGTGCGCAGAGATAACAAAGTACCAATGAGCCCCACAATCTTGGACGAGCCCCATCGCTTTTGTTGCAATGCTGTCGATGTAAGCATAAATGTCACGAGGTGTGGGCACCATGGTTTTCTCCGTATCCATCCCTGTTTCTATGCCTATGTGAAATGAGAACTAAGCAATCCATACATGAGCCATGACAGTAGCAATTATCGGTGTCGTCTATACGCAAAATGTCTATTGGAATTCGGCTGAACTAAAGCTGTCAGATATTCTCACTAGGTGGCAATAACGCTCCAATTCGTAATTTGTTACTTTGCCGGGAGCGTTATTTCGCGGTGCCTCGCCGTGTCATCGCAGCTCTGGCAGGTTAGGTGGTCGCTGCGGGTGCGCCACTAAACGCGATTGGAAACAGCTGTGAAAAGGCTGCATTTCCTGAAATTTGAAACAAGGGAACCCTACGTCATTTGTCTCCAGGGTAAGTGGCCTTTAGGCGGAACAAGTAGTAGTGGAGACTAGCATTTGCTTGGCAGGGAGGTGTGCGAGCCCATGTTTGATGAGGATTGCATCAAATCAATGCAACTTTCTAAGTGGGGGTTCTGGGTTGGTTTTTATTCATCTACTCAAATAGGCATTGCTTGAGCTGACTGATGAAAAGGTGTTGTCTGTTATTGTAGAAGTTCTGTCTACACAGACAGCTAGGCAATTGCCTGGTAAGTGAAGGGCGATATGGTTCTCATGATCCTCACCACACTTTCTACTACTTATCGTTGCATATGGGTTTTGTACTGGTGGTGAGCCTCCATTTCACTTTGAGTACTTACAGAGATAGGTGTTCATGTGTACAACTAGCTTAATGATGAAATTCTGTGAGTTTTTGAGTCAGCTGCTCTGTTGTGCACTGCTTGGGTTCTGTCATTGCATGTATTCCTCTTATTTAGCTGTTTATTACCATGCCATGCTTTTAGCTTGTTCACAATTTTTAGTTGTTCCTGGCAATGTTGGCATTGCATGGCCACACAGGAGCAATCTGGTGCTCACATAGTAGCCATGACCTGAGACCTGCATGATGATTGCCTCATAGACAATCTATTGATGACTGAGCTATGTTTCTGAGAGAAACTAAGCCATGACTGATAACATAATTCATGAAGATCAATGGTTACTTGTGTGAAAGTAGGTCATTCAGTTGAGACCCTGATAAATGGATCCAATTTTATGTATTGTCTGGCACTGGAAAAATCACTTGGCACAAAGTTGGATCCTAATAAAATATGCAATATTTCACAGCGTAGAAGTCACAAAGTATATGGTGTCAGAAGCATGACCGAGGAAAGCATTGCTTGTGATTAGAGAATGCCATAGAACTGGTGAGGTTGCGGTTCCTTTCTGCTGTTTGGCCCGTTCCGTGTGCCAATTCTCCCTTCCAAATGGTGCTGGCTCATTTCTGGGCGTAAACATTCCAGAGCATATTCCCCAGATGAATAACAAACACAGTCAGCACATTCCAATGTCAGATGGTTGTTATAGATAATGCATGTTATATTGTCCTTTCTGCTTTAATTTTTTTGAAAATGGATTATTTAATCACTTAATGAATACACACTGCAGTTTGCTTTCTCTGCTGAAGCTACACATGTTTAGTTGCAGAGGTGAAAGTTCCAGATGCAAACTGCCTGACTATTCTGTGATAAGTCAAATGGCTACACCAATTTAGAAATTGATATGGAATGTGTCCTGAGATAACAGGGCAGTTTCAGTTTCATGATATGTTCCCTCCTTGTAGCTTTTATTTTTCAATAACAAAATTGTGCTTTTAAAGTGTGACAAAATGTGAGTGGCCTGTACAAGTGTACTTGCCTTCATCAGACTTCAAGATATAGTGCTGGATCTGCACTCAACTGAATTTTACTCAGGCATCATTCACTTCACTAAGTTGGGTTACTAAGGATGACCTGCAGGTTTTTGCATATTCTGGGAATCAGAGGCTTAGTAATCAAATCAACAGGTGTACTGTGGAGGTAAAATGATCACAGCAGATATATCTTGTTACTTCATGTCAGTGGCTGTGGGTTCACCAGGCCACAATGAATTAGATACCACTGCTTGCATATGATATTTCTTCAGAG